CACACACACACACACACACACACACACACACACACACACACACACACACACTGCGAGTCTGATTTCTTCAGCCCAGTTTTCAAGACGCATTCTGGTTGTCCTCTTAAATATGCGATCCCCAAACAGCTGAAAACACAATGGGTTGAGCATCACAACAACAAAGGCTGGGTGATGGCTTTCAGTTCCACTGGAGCCAAAGAAAACTGGTCCTGCTGGTTGTAAACAGAGGCCTATTCATTTATCTGTTTCCTGAACTGCAATGTTACAGTAATGATCTCAGGCCTCTATGGAAGCAGTAGAGTCAGGCTCAGCGAAAGTGGGGGCAGTGAAGCTGACCCGGACATCCCGTGGGTAAAAACCACGAAGAACTCCATCACCAACAATGTCTGGAAGATCTGCAAGACAGAGCTTTATACTGTGTGGACAAGGACATTCCCAGAAGTACACATTTAATCGCTGTCTCTCAGTGTTAATATGTTTGATAATGACTCCTAACTCAAAATGGTGTCAAGTCTTACCTGATGTGCGGTCAGAGATATAAGGATCCTCAAAAAAACCCAACACTCGCTGATATGGTAATGAATAACTAAGGAGACAAAATATTTTAGATTATACTCCAGTAACTGTAAAGTTATGTATATTAATATTAACTTTTATCCTATAAGTACTATTACCACACAATTAGAGAGAAGTTGTAAATACATATAAATATTTTACCTGTAATTCCGACCGTCCAGATCATCAAGTGATCTGAAATTAGAGCAAATAATTAAATAATTAGACCTTTTCGTGAGGAAGACTTCAGTAAAAAGGTCATTAGTTCACGTCTCTAAAAGGCAGATTATAGATGCTTCTCTATGATAAATGATACAGAGACATTTGTTAAGAAAGAGGAAAATACAACTTGCCAAGATGCAGAAAGCTACTGTACATTTCTCTTCATAATTTGTGTTATTTCCTGTACACACACATATACAGTATATATATATTCAATACAGCACTATGGAGACATGTAGCCAAAACAGAAGCAATGATTTAAAACTCTAAGACTTAATTATCAAGATCAGTTTCTACGTCTAATTCTGAAAAAGAAAAATGTTTGGAAGCCACTTGAAGACACTCATAGGACACACATTTACCACTAAAAGTCTAGATCTTCTTCTCCTGCTCTTTAGCTATTTTAAAGGATATTGTGGGTTAGAGCCGGTGCTGCTGCTCTGCATGACTGTGAGAAATGTTTTGGAAGTTTTATTATGATGCTGCATTGCCCTCAATCCAAAAATAGAGGATTTAAACATAGAACGGTGTCCAACACCTCTGGGCAAAGACAGAGGAGTCGGAAGTGAAGGACTTACTCCATACTGCTGATCTTGTTTCCTGTATGAAAGTGTCGGACGTGGAGGAAGTCCAGCAGCACCTGTGGCACGTCTTCATTTTGATAGATGATGTCCTGAGAGAATGAGACAAATATATAAAGGAGTAAAAATATATATTTTCTATATGAAGGTGAAAGTATGAAAGCTGAACTTGTCTTCTCAAAGGTTTCTGAATAAATATTATCAGTGAGCGATGGTTATTACTGATGAGAGTCAAATATGAAAAAATATTAAATTGGTACACGAACAATCAGTGGTTGGTAAAGTTCAACATTTTGATTGATGATATGAAATGCCACAACATTTGACCTCTGAGCTCAGCCAAAAGCTTGAGCTCCTTTTAAAATAAAAAAATAAAGAAATCAGGAAATTAGTTGACGTTAAAGTGCATAACTGTTCTTCTAGGAATTCCTCAGTAGATATTCTTAAACAATTAAATTGAAACAGAAAATGTGCAAATGATATTATTTTACAGGTCCGGTCTGTGGACAGTATGTTTGTAAGTATAACTGATGTGTCTCAGAACAATTCTATAACTTTTTTTGTCAATCATTATATTAAAAGATAAAACTGAGGATGTGCTACTGCCCTCCTTTCCAGGCATGTAGGAGAAACTAGAGTCCTTGAAGTAAAGAAATAACTGTTTGTGCGGCCCTCTCTGGAGCCAGTGTGAGGTTTGTCCATTCACCAAAAGGAAATGTCCTGTTACCTTGAATATATAAGGTTTAGTTATTTATTTACATTTTCATAAAGAATTGATACATATCTTTAAATGAGGTCAAAACCACTGTCAGCAACATAATATCACAAAGCCTCAGCAGTTCAGAAGCTCCTTGTGCCTAAAGGAGATCCCACCTGAATGCATGGACACGTGGATGTTTACCTGGACATAATCTTCCAGCTCCTGCATCCTCTGCTCGGGAGGTTTGGTCCTCAGGTGAGGGTTCCTCTTGCTCGGGAAGTCCGGAGTCTGAATGATCTTCTTGAGCTGCAGAAAACCACGAGTACAAGAACCTTCAAATGGTTGAAATGACTAAATTACTTTATAATTTACTTTTCCATTTTCCATGTTGTCCCAGACCCTTGTAATATTTTTTTTTTACATTTTATCCCAAAACACTTTGCGTCTCTTACCTAAAACAATAGAGTTATTTACTTTAAATTCCAAGCATGGTGGTTGCAATGTTTGGGGAAGGAATATGAACATCATTCTGATCACTCAGGAGGTAAAATGAAGCTTCCACATGATTTTTAATCCACTAAATCCATGTAAACGTTGCTCTTTTATGTGACATCTAACAGAATGACATGCTGTGCTACATACATTAGAAACACTGTATTAACTGTTGCATGTACGTACTTTTCTGTGCAGAGTCTGGAATTCGCTGCTTCTTCTGAGCACATAATGTTTCCTCTCATTAAACAAGACTTCCACTCTGAAGCGCTGCAAACAGGAGACAGAAAATGAAAACATTAACAATCTCTGAAGACAATATTGGACACTTAAGTCAAGAGGTTAAGTCCTTTCAACAGGTTTCTTTGATTTGGTCTAATATTATTCAAAGTGCAATAACCAATGAGGAATTATAACGATCTCAACTAAACCATCTCTATTTAAACATAACATTAAAAAGTTTGTTTCTCAGTTTACTATGTAATGAAGGGAATTTAAAATAAGGTTTTAAGAATAAGGACTTATTCAAAAAAATAGTTCATTATCATTACAGTCATATTTTGATTCTCATTATTAACTGTTTTATTATGTTATTCTTTGCATCATAATAACATAATGTCTCCAGCAGGAGGAGACACAGAGCTTTAGATTTCAGGTCCGTTTTAAACAGGAAGGACACAATCAGATCACACCACACAGTTCCACTGGAGCCAAACAAAACTGGTCCTGCTGGTTGTAAACAGAGGCCTATTCATTTATCTGCCTCCTGTACTGCAATGTTACAGTAATAATCTCAGGCCTCTATGGAAGCAGTAGAGTCAGGCTCAGTGAAAGTGGGGGCACCTTTACTAAATATTCAATTCATCTCAACAAACTGTATCTATGCTAAGATGTCTCCTACTTTCTGATTTGTCACAAAAAACTGATTGAAAACATTATAATCTTAAGATTTCAATTAGCATCAGATTGGTAAGGTCTACTTCATACACAGGGGCTTCAGAGTCCAGGGGTTTTTAAACTGACCTGAGATATTGGAGATAAAACTATTTTTTTTAAAGTTAAAGCTTTGTCTGAAATATTTGTTGTAGTGAACTGTATTACTTTTATATATCAATCTGAAAAAACTCCCTTAATTCATCGTAATTATTTTAAAGCAGACACTTAAGGTTTATGTAATTTAACGTGTTGAATTGTGAAATTAAAGCGACGTCTCTCTCTCATTTACACTCTTCAGGCCACTGCAGTGTTGAAAACATCAGGTACATGTTTCCTGCTGTCCTCTGTGGGACGTAAAAAACATAACAGTATGTAAAAAACATCATTACAGTGTTCTTCAGTCATTCATAAAATAACTGATAATCTGTGATACAATCAGTTGAGAGCTTTTTATAATCTGAAACATTTAAATTTATTAAATTACTCCTAATAATATTTTTGAGTAACATTTGCACTGCAACCCGTGTGGAGGAGTATTTCACAGTGTGGAAGAAATATTTTTCGGGTAATTCTCTGCACATATAAACTATACATTTTATAGTTAACTATACGTTAACACTCCAGCTCTGAGGTCAACAAACATTATCGATGATGTTTATTTAGCTCCTCAAATATTTAATTTAAGAACATTAACTGAACATGGCATCTCTGTATAAACAGAGGGTTGGGGTTTAAAAGACCTTTTCACAGCAGAACATCTTGACTTTTATTAATTTTACTCAGGACTAGTATCTGCTCCTTTGTGTGAGGAGGAACAGGAAAAATGACCCCGAGCAGGTTATTGGTGTGCATGTTTCTGACCAGACTGTCAGAAACAGACTCCTTGACATGAGGGCCTAACATCCTCTAGTGGGACCTGTGCTCACAGCCCAGCACTGTGCTGCTCGATCTGCATTCACCAGAGAACACCACAATTGGCAGGTCTGCCACTGGCGCCCAAATTTCTTCACAGATGAGAGCAGGTTCACACTGAGCACATGTGACAGGCGTGAAAGAGTCTGTAGAAGCTGCGGTGAACATTATGCTGTAACATCATCCAGCATGAGTGGTTTGGCGGTGGGGCAGTGATGGTCTGGGGAGGCGTATCCTTGGAGGGTCGCACAGACCTCCATGTCATAGCCAGCAGTTCCCTGACTGCTGTTAGTTACTGGGATGAAATCCTCAGAGCGATTGTCAGACCCTTACGCTGGTGCAGTGGGCCCTGGGTTCCTCCTGGTGCAGGACAATGTCTGATCTCATGTGGCCAGAGAGATTAGGCAGTTCCTTGATGACAAAGGCGTTGATGCCATTGACTGTCCCTCACATTCCCCCTGACCTAAATCCAATTGAGCACCTATGGGGCATTTTGTATCGGTGTATCTGACGCCACCAAGTACTGCCAGACACTGTGCAGGGGCTCACTGATGCCCTGATCCAGGTCTGGGAGGAGATCCCCCAGGACACCATGAGCCGACTCATCAGGAGCATGCCCCGATGTTGCATACAGGGCATAAAGGCACGTGGCGCCATACACAGGACTGGGTAACATTATGAGTTTCTGTGATAAAGGTCACACAATGGATGAGCCTCTGACTTCAATTTTTTACTTGGATTTCTGGTGTGGTTTTGAATTCAGCCCTCAATGGGTTCACAACAAATTATACAATATACACCAGTAAAGATTTTCAACTTGAATAATTCATTCATTAAGATCTGATGTGTGATTTAAGTGTTTTTTTGCAGTGTTGAAAAGTCACAGGTCTTAACATTAATTAATAAACATTATTAATTAACATTATTAGCTCTGTTGTATTCAAGTGTCTCACAATAAAAGGAGCCTGTAAGTGAAGCTGCATTTAGTTCACTATTTAAACCTGTTTACCTCTTTTTATCCTGCTGTCACATGTCAAATGATCCATTTGGGTGCAATTTGGTGCAGATCCACATAAATATCTGGATCTAGTGAATGAAGAGGTGGTTTCATAAGGAGACTGTTGGGCCTTGGTATGAACTCTACTGAGTGACATTCTAGTTCACTCATGTTGCATCTCTAACACGCATCTGTAAAATGATCTGGTAATAAAATAGTAGGTCCATACAAAATAATAATTTAATCTAATTCTATTTACCTCTAAATCACAACATACATGATCTCAAGACAGACATTAGCGACTGTGGAGAGAAAAAGCTCCTTTTAACAGGAACATTCCTCTGGCAGAACCAGAATCAATGTGGACCTGCACCATCAGCCTGGAATGGTTGGGGTGAGGGGAGCAAAATGGGTGAGGGGATTGCATGGGTGTAAAAGAGGGGAGGGAAAAGAGAGAGACCAGGAAATGATATTTAAGCTCTGCTTGTTGTACTGAAAATAATAACCGTGATACTTGAACACAAAATTATGTGAAGGAGCCTTATTTTACTTTGCACACTTTCATTTTGCTCCTGCACCTTTTACATCAGCAGAATCCTGAGTGTAAAACATGAGGCTACTTTTAAATGTGTGGTGGCTGCTACTATTAGTGAATATAACAACACATTGTAACAAATAACAATACATGTTTATGTCATGGCACCTTTCTAGACACCTACATACATAAACACAACTGGTTAAAGTCAAACCAAGCTTTAAAACCAAGCTTTAAAACCAAGCTTTAAAACCAAGCTTTAAAACAAAGTTTTAAAACCAGACCCAAACAACTGTCGATGATAACACACGTCACACAGTAAAGGTGGAAATCTGACTGAGTGAGGATAGAGTCGGTGTTTGGCTGAGGTGAGAATCATCAGAATACAGTTTTCACACTTGATTCCATTTCATGTAACCTTTGTTAAAGCAAAGTCAGATTTGATACTGTTGGAAACTTTGCAGGATCCGACTACTTCCTGAAGCTCAGTAGAGAAATCAGAGCTGAGGGGACTTTCACTCTTCCAGCAGGTAACCTGGCTCACCTGGCGGCTCGGCTCGCCTCCAACTACACACACTGTACACACACTGTACACACACTACACACAGATTACACTACACTGTGTGGATTTAACCAGCGAACACACACACGTGCGAGCATTCAACATGTCACTGTTTGTTTTAAGCATCCTGTGGAAAGAGATTCAACCTGACGACTTTCTGACGCGTCCTCACCTTCTTGGTCTTTCCCGACTCATCCACTTCCTTCTCCATCGATGGTATCGACACTTCGATCATCGGGAAATCTTCCACATACACCATCGGACTCGATCAGCTTTATTCTCCGATTGTCTACTGACGAGCACGAGCCGAGAGTTTGACCCAAGTCCGAGAACTGGAGAGGAACAAACAGACCGTGTCGACAGTTCAGTCGTCTGTTGTGTCTCTGGTCTGTTCCCTCCTGAGCTCCACCTCCTCACTAATTGGACAAACCCCACAGACAGACAGACAGCATCAGAGAGACAGACAGACAGACAGACAGACAGACAGACAGACAGACAGACAGTATCAGAGAGACAGACAGACAGACAGACAGTAT